CTCTTCACCAACGTATATTCCATGCCTAATGTTATTGTTTAATATACGTACCATTTACCAATAGCATTTTCGAAATTCATAACAAAGTCTTTGAAGTTGACATCTATAAATTTGTGGTTAAATAATTTTTTCGGCCTTTCAACTTAGTTAGTTAAAAATAAAAAAATTTATAATTATACCACTCGCCACTGCTATCGATGACGATGGCTTTTCCAACCATTTTATCTTCTTTCCCAAATACTACTAAAAATCAGTTTTTCACCTAAAAATAATTACTAGCAGATTGTATCCGTTGATGATTAGAGACGGATTATACGTTGGTAAAGATATTAGACTTTTAACTTCGAAAATCACAACTCAAATTTTCGTTTTGTAAAAGTGGTAGCTCTTTACCAACGTATATTCCATGCCTAATGTTATTGTTTAATATACGTACCATTTACCAATAGCATTTTCGAAATTCATAACAAAGTCTTTGAAGTTGACATCTATAAATTTGTGGTTAAATAATTTTTTCGGCCTTTCAACTTAGTTAGTTAAAAATAAAAAAATTTATAATTATTAAATAAATAATAACAATAATAAAAAATAAATAAATAATTTTTTTTTACCACGCCTCACACTCATGCAGCTATTTACAACACTAATTTTTACCAATTATAATGACAGACATTTACCAATGGAAGTCGATTGATAATGGTTAAGATTTTTACCAATGAAAAATTCGTTGGTAAGTAGTTTAATATTTACCAACGGAAAATTCATTGGCAAAAAATGCGCTCTTTACCTATAATGCAATCCGTTGCAAACTATCAGCGACCCTCAAATTAGTAAGGATTTATGGTTGTTAATATTCTGTTGATAAAGAGTAATAGTAAGGAATATTGTGGTATCAGGGATGAAAATTCGTACCTGAAGCAATGTTTTTTTTGTACTAAAACAGGTCCTACCTCTATCTCTACCCATTTCATCTTCTTCCACAACTCTATGTTTTTGTGATTTTTTTTTTCTTTTCTTTCTCGCTTTTTAGACAACCAAATTAGCCAAGTTAGAAAAATTTTCTTTGTTTGAGTGCCTTGTTTCTTTCTTTGTGAAATCTCAGGCTGACATTATAGTTTCTTTGGTGGGCCTAAAAATCAAATTATTGCAACCTCTGTGCATTTGAATTGGGAAAAAATTTCAAGCAATGCTATCACTCTAGGATTTAATGTGTGGGGGAAAATGAATTAAATGTCAGTGACCACAAATTACACCATAGTGCTTTGAGGAAATCATCTTTCGAGGTTAATCGGCTATGAAAAGTAGAGAGATACAATTGGAAATGCAGGTTTTATTGCACATTTGTTAGGATAGTCTGTGAAAACAAATCATTGTGGAAGATATTGCAGAGAATATGAGGACAAAAGATTGGAGTTGGAGGTGGGAATCGGTGGAGGATAGGGTTGGGGAAGAATATTAACAATGACCTTGTTCTTTATTGTTTTTTTATTTAATTAAAATTTATTTTTTATTTTTTGGACCTCTGTTGCAATTATCTCTATATTTTTTAATAAAATAATTTTGCTTGTAAACCTAATAATAATAATAATAATATGGGGCTTAAATATAGTTATCATAGTCCATATGGTATTGTTATAATGTATAATTTTAATTTAGTATTATCAACTTTAATTATTACTTTTTCCATTCAAATAGAGAAGCAAAGTAACAAAATTTCTACTTATTTTTGTTTTTAAGTATAAATTTAAACTTTCATAAAAAATTCTAACATAAATAAAGGGTTTAGTTTTTCAACTAATTGCATCTTGTATTCATACGTCCAAAACTTTCAAAAATGAGGTTTTGAGTCCAACCCCATTACAAATGTGATTTTGGATAGTGAAAATCATTAATTTAAATGCTAAAATCACACATAATTTTCAATTTAATTGAAGATAAATGTTAAGTGATTTAACAAATAGGTTAGGGAACCAAAACTTTACTTTTTAAAATTGAGGATCCATATCCACGTCACATGAAAAATTGAAGACCAAACACTATTTTGTCCATATTCTATTGGAAAGTGCACCTAGGTTATATGTGTCTAGAAAATAAAAGAGTAATGTTATTCACAGTAATGCTTATAACCAACAGTTGTGGTGGAGTTAGTGCCATAATCATTGAAATACGAATGCATTTTAATTCTTTGATGAATGTTGTAGTAATTTACTGTAATATAGAATGTTATTTACAATGTTCTAAAAAGCGTAAAATGATGTTAGACGTGGAGACCACACTTTAAACTTTACGAACCTAGACGAGGCCTAGGCATAAGAAATTCTAAAAATATTTAATAATTGAAATAATATATATCAAATATCTAAAATTATAAAATACTATTTTTACTTAATAATTTCTACAATTAGTGCCTGTTTGAGCCACATTATTCCCCAAAAATGCATTCTTAAACAGTGATTTGACATCATTTCAATCACATATTTTTCAATAAAATTATATTACACGCAAATCAAAAACTTTTCTTTATTTTTTAACCATACATTTTCCATCAATACACTATTCAAGAATGCATTATTACCAAAATAATGTGGCTCAAACACCCCCTTAGTCAATTATACAACTTTCAAATTTTCGAAATGCAAAAGTTGGACTACTTTTTATAATTTCAACTTTCAGCTAGACAATTCCTATTTGAAATATTCTAACATGCTTTCATTTTTCACTTTTTTACACAAATAAATTCATTTAAATAATTGAAACTAAAATCAATTAATAAGCTTTTAAAAAAAAATAAAAATAAAGCACCACTAGACGTGACATTTCGCCCAAGCCTCGTGCTTTGGCAGCGCATAAGCACCGTTTAGACGAACTTTTTAGAATACATATTATTTGTAACCATTGCTTACCAATAACATTATTCAAAAAAATAATTGTAATTTGAAGGCTAACCACCAAATGAAAATTGAAATTTGAAGGTAAATAAAAGTCTAAATGACATCCTTGAGTATCTCGGTCCACGACAAGAATCTCGAAAATTGTGTGATTTTGACCGAATTGATATGTGTCAAGAGTCCAACATCGGACGTGTCAAGAGTCCAATATCGGACAATGTTCGAGGAATTCAATTTGAATTAGTTTTAACATAACTAATAATCAGTTTGAGTAAAAATCTTTTAGGCACTGAACGTTACATGGGTCATTTTTTTGCAATTGAACTTAATTTTCTTTTAATTTTTTTATTTTTCGAATCCGTTATCATTATTTGCATTATGCTATAGCTATCTCTATGCAACTTATGATTATTTGAAAGAAAAAGAAGGGAATTAGAATTTTCAGTTTCTTTAGGCGCCTACTTGAAATTGAATGAAGGGAAAAATTCACAATTAGGGTATTAAGTATTGACAATTCAATTCTCATGTCTAAAGTTTTGAAAATGCAAAAATCAGGTTTTCAATTTTTAATTAAATATATTTTATTAATTGAAAATAATAAGGTCATATTTATACCACTAATGGTCACAGGTTCATAATTATAAGTCACAAACTTATTTATTGGTCACGTATTATCGAATTAATTGGTCACAAATTATTTCGAGGTCATAAATCAAAAATTTTATAGATCACAGTTTATTTAATTGATCACAGATGAAAAAATTATAGGTCACAGTTTATCTATCAATCACATATTTTCGAATTTGTTGGTCACAATTATCAAATTTTAAGGTCACAGGTAATCAAATAGTCAGTCACAGGACAAATAGTTGGTCACATTACATACCACCACCTCCACTGCCACTATCGCGAGTTCCACTACCAACAATAACCATCCAATTCCTTGACAAAACCAAAACACGACCACCACCTCCACTCCAACAACCAAAAAACACTACCAACATCACCACTAGGCACTACCCCAACACCGCACCACCACAACCATAGCACCAACACTACCAAAGGTACTGCACACAGTACTAGCAACACCACAGCACATACCACCACAAGCAGCAGCCAGCACATCTTTGCATAGGAAAAAGGGTAGCGCAGACATCAACACCTCACCTACAAAACTGTTGCCACACATCTTTGACCTGAAAAACTGCCACCAATACCGTCGACATGACCACCATCATTTACCGCCACTAACACCACCAACACCTCACTTGCAAAACTGGTCGTCACCACTGAGACCAACACCATCAACATCTTCGCATGGCGCACCTTGGCTGGAAATCCTCACAGTAGCGAGGGGAACCTCTTGCAAACAGTGTCGCTTAGGTCGTCGTCACGCCTCTTGCAAACAGCATCGCTCTCTTGCAATGTCGCTGACCTTCTTATAGCGGCGCCACTGATGGCGAGTGGTGAGAAAGGAGAGACAGATCTTAATCTAGGGTTTAGAATAATATTGGGATGAATTGAAATAAGGTTGAATTATTTTATATTAATATTAATAATTAAATTAATACCTGAATTCTTAATAAAAAACTTTCCTATATGATTTTTGCATTCTGATTTTTAAATGCCTGAAATGTTGTAATTTCCCTAGAATGAAAAAACATAAAAACTTGATTGAAAGTCCATTTTTATGTTGGTCTCCATTTGGGCCTATTTGTTTCTTTTTGGAATCCAATTTTAAGCCCAATGGGCTTTAAACTGAAAAATAATATGATTTTGATTAGGTAATCCACAACTCACTCGTCCCTTTAACATTGGGAAGTCTACACTTGACTTTCGGATTAGAATTTTGCTACTTTTCCAGATGATTTCTACCATCCTCCTTGACAGATGTGTAGTTGGATGAAAATGATGACAATTTTTAAAATAGTTTAATGACATAATCCTATCTGTCAACGAGGATGTCACTCATGAATGCTCTAATTTTGAACCATGGATGTGATGTGGGCATTCAAAATGTTTGGGCAAAAATTCACTAATAACATTAGCAGCGCAAACTACTACAGGGGATTCATAACTACAAATGTACTAGGTGTAATTTCCACTGTAATGTTTGCCATTATGGCCCAATAAATTAGGATACAAAGGTAGCCTAGAATAAAGTCCTGCAAATATATGAATACCAGTGACAACATAGGCAATAACACTTGTAGAAAAGCCTAGGTGAAAATCTAAGAAACCCAACAAAGAGTTCGCGCTAGACCCCTTCATTGGTTGATATAAGCACTGCGAATCCTGTCTACAGACCGATAAAGAAAGTGGAGAACCGGATGGAAAATAGCTCTCAATGGAACCCTAACACACGTGTGCCAACACGAAAGGAATCCAACGCAAGTTATCTTCATCTTTTCCCAAAAACGAGAGATCAAATCTTGATCTCTATTGAGAAGAATGGCAGCCGACTGCACGTAGGCCGAGGCTGCATGCTTAACCAGTTCATTGCGAATGGAAATGTTGGAAGAATCAAATGCATTTGATGGATCATTATTTACTTCATGCTGTGGCAAAGTGCTAAAGATTATGTCCTTCAGGCTTGTATATCGATGATCTTCAATGTCGGAAGAAGAATCCTCGCTGCTTAGTGAGATTGTTGAGTCGAATATGCGTTTGAACGAAGGCGATATCTTTAGTTTGGGAAGTTCTTCATCCATTCCTAGCTACCTACAACTCATGGAACTTACTGTAATCTCCACAAAACCAGATAAATGGCGTTTTGGACAAAATTTGAACAATCATATAAATAATTTCATTGCAAATTAAAAATGGGTTGCAGGGATTTTGTGTTGTGAGCTTTTGTATGCTATAACTTATGATAAGTAGCAGAAAACTAAGATAAACATGAACTTGGTTGAATAGGAGGCAAATTTTCAGATTTTACTGACAAGTGGCTTTAACTTTGAGAAACAGAAGTTCACTGGCTATCCTAGGTTCAAGGACATTGAACCGGACAATAGTAAAACTTAAGACTAAGTAACATTCCTATTTACAAGCATCAGATACATTTAATCACACTTTGACCGGTGCATTTCAAGGCTAGATCTGCTGTCAACTTGAGGTTGTTTCCTTGATTATCTCCTCAATTCTGTAAACAATTTTAAGGTGTCAAATTTTTAGAATATCGCACAAAAACTTGTAGCGAGGTCTAGTAAGATTTCGACACGTCAAAATTGTGGTAAACCGTAAGATTTCAGTTAAGGGAACAACAGATTTTATCCGATTCCATTCCACGATGGCTTCCACTTCTCTTTGTTCTTCTTAGCACCTAAAGTTTCTGACAAATTCCCAGATTTGAAATTACAGCTTAACAAAATCTTCGATGATCCAAGCTGAAAAAGAGAAGAAAAAATTTCTAGTTGCAATATACAAAACCTGTTTGATGCTGATTATGAGAATCAATTTTTTGATCGTTTGCTTGAAAGATAGGTCCCCACTTCTGAGTAAAGAAGTCAAAAATGATAACTGACTACACTAAATAATGGTCAAAATTTGAATTTTTGCCTTGAAAAATCACAACCAAACGGGAGCACAATTATTAATGACCAATTTACAAGGAAACCGGATATTATAGGCCGTCCAACTGGAAAGTTCAAAACTACCGAGTGGAACTACAAGAGCAATATTTTGTGAAAAATGGACTTTGTACCGTTAGTGAAGGACAGGACTACAATGGTATATTTCAACTTCAATTGTTAAGTAGATTTCAAGCACATAGACTCGTTAAATGGAGATTGAGGCTTGTATTTTCATGATATCAAATTGGGAAGAAGCATAGCACATCATCTATGGACTACTTTTCTTGTATAAAGCATTTCACAAGAAGAAGAGAACCAAGTTCTAAGCTAACTCCATCATTCATAAATGATATCATGGACATTTCACTGTTTACAGATAGACTTGCTTCCGATATCCATCTCACCTGATGCACTTACCAGCCTACCGGCATATTCTTAGTCTACGGAGAAAAAATGATAAATTAGCCGTAGATACACCTCACATGGCGCAAGAGACAGGTTACAACCATTCCATAGATAGTCTGTATTCACTTCTATCAAGACATACATATAGGAAGCACACAAAAACTTAATTTCAATTTATGATTAAAAATCATCTGTTAACCCTTCTTTTAGCTGTTTACAGGCAGTTAAGAAAGGAAATTTCAAACAATTCATTTGATCCATTATAAAACAGTCTCGTCGCTATTTTGTCTTGCAATTGTGCATCAACTTTAGAAATAATCATTTGAGTTATCAAAAAAGAACTGGATCCAGATAACATTAAGTTCTGAATAATTTCTGTCTAGCACTAATTTTAAAAATAGTAAAGTACTTTAACACCGGTATCTCCTTACTTCCAGTGTTTGAACAGCACATTTACGAAGAAGCCTCCAGAGCTCTGTTATTTGTTCACCTTTAAGCCTTATATTGCATATCAGTCAGCCTCAGTTTTACCTGACCTATGATCTAATGAGTATCCAATATCTCATCCTTTCCTCCTCATTCCCACGACGGATTTCAACAAAAACAGCATCTCCTTTTTTCTTAGATTTGAATTCTGAAATATCCCAGAACCCTGAATTTGATTAAATCAACTCAAAGGCATGCATAATAGTCTACCATTCCAAGAATGTTATTCTCTAACTCAAGTTATTAGCATAATTTAGACACATATTTGAGACTTAATCTGATGCAGGCTAGTCTAGCTCTAACTCAAAGGCATGCACAGTTACGGTCACAAATGTAACTCACTGAGACATTAGACAGTTAACTCACTTAGAAATTAGGCAGTTTTAACACGTAATATTCCATAAGCATAATCGTTGTTCAATTATTCGTTCCTTAGTATAGCACCATGAATACTTTAACTCCGGCATAATAAATATCAAAATGATAAACCTCCACAAATTAAACGCATTATCCTCTCATCAATCACCATTTCAAGAAAATTAGTAGAGAAAAAGAAACAACCATTATCTCAACCAAAATCTTTAGAAAGAAAATAAGATATCAGTAATTGCAGCAAATAAATCTAAACAAATATCCTCATCCCCTGTCATTGAGACAATATCAACATTTGCTTGAACTACAAATGGAATAAACTGAATAACTTATATGAGGCTCCCTACCGGGCATAAGCTGACTCAATAGGGAAATCCACCAGTTAGAAACTACCTGAGAAGCCTCTGCTGCAGGCCAGACCATTCATATATGTATAGAAGAAACAAAAAGCATATGTATTTTAGGGGCCAGGTGCAGCACTTCCATATAGATTTACCGGATTGTCACAAACTTATTTGTACCATGTTTCGCCCAGTAACTCTTCAGATCAATCGGGTTAGAGAAATTATAATCTTCTGAAGCAAGTTTCTCCAAGACCTTCTTAAACGCACCAATACTCATCTTACGCCCTGCTATCCTCGCACCGCGACGCTTAGTACTCATAGGCAAGGGATACACAGACATTCCAGTAGTACAGCATGCAGATTGCCACCCACCCGAGCCCCACCTATAACACTGCTGTGGAGTCCCAGTGCACGAGCAAACTGGTATAGGGATTCCTGAAATATCCATATTGATTCCATTGATCACAACTTCAGCCCGTTTCTTGGGAGCCCTCGTCCGCTGAACTGAAGGGCTAGACCCTTCTCTAGGAGCCCTAGGAGCTCTAATCCTAGGTTTTTTCTCTTCGGCAGGAGACTTTAGCACTTTCCCACCTCCCCTCTTCTTAGCAAGAGGAACACCACTGCCACCATTATCTCCCTCTTTACTTACCTCTTCCATCTGAGGTATGACATTTACATTTTTTGTTATATTAATTTGCTGGGGCATTTGGATGGAATGAGCTGATGAAGTCTCCGCTGAAAGCCCATAATTCAGTTGATAATAGGATTGGTGTTGGTTCACGGGCAAGTTATTTACATACTTTTCTCTGCCATGGTTCATCCAATTCTCCCTCATATAGTCGATGGGAATGTGGGACTCAGAAAAGCCACCAACACGATGGTGATGGTAAGGCCCGCCATTGATCGAAGCCATGACACCAGAGGGGGGGACACGGTGTTGGTCATGAACATCACCACCAAAAAGGGGCCTTTCGGCCATTGATGACATTAGCTGGAGGCCCAAATGGCTCTTGAGTGGGGTGGTTGCCCTCTCAAAAAACCCCCAATTCCTCAAATTCATACTACCATTTCCGTCCATCTTTACGGAATCACTAAACTGTGAAACAACGAAAAAACCTCAAAATTCGGCACATGAATGTGTTTACCTGGAATTCCAAACTGTAAATTTAGTACATTTTACAAGTCTAAATTACAAACCCTACCAAAACCGCACAAGAATATACAACTACCAGAAAACAAATCTACCCATATTCACTTTCAGAAAATGCAAACAGACCCACAAATCCAAAAAAAATCCATAACGTTAGAAATGCACAAATTTTGGGTTTCTGAACTCAGATCTGTGGGGAAAAAAATTACAACATAAATTTAAGTTAATCAAAATAAAAAAATAAAAAAACATTTTCCCTAACAAAAGTAGGAAAAAACATAGATACAGTGAGCTTACAGAGAGAAATGAAGGTCGGCCGGATTAGGGTTTGTTTTTTGCCTTTTCCAGAGTGTAGCCTTTTTCCTTGTTAAGGAAATGGAGGTTTTGGTGTTGGAAATGGGAAATTGTTACAAATAAAGAAAAATAACTAATGTCATGCTCATGCATGAGGACACGTGCCACACTCTTGTGAGGCCTCATGATTTTCATTGTGATTTTTTTGTCATTTTCTCATTTTAAATTTTTTTTGAAAATGATTTACATACATTTGTAAAATTTAAAATTTTCGAACTGCAACAAAGTATTTGTGCTTTGGGAGGATGTGAATTGCATCACATTTTTAGTTTAAACTGTATCATGTCACAAGTACAATATTTGAATCTAGTGATGAAAAAAATTAAACATGGGACTGTCTGCATTACATCAATATGTATTTCGTACATATCGACAAATACAAATTTATGATGAGAAGTTTCAATAGATCTTAAATTTTGGCGATCGAATACATGAATGACTATCAGGATTGATTTTATCAACTCTTCACGTATATGTTATGATTAGTTAATATCTAATGCAAGGTTCATGATCGTGTACAACATGCATTTGTAAACCTCATATCTAACTTTAATCATAGTAAAATAATGTTATATGTACATCATATAAGACTGAAAATCGATCCTAAGCAATTATGCAAAAACAAATTAGATCGAAAAATCAAAAATCTCACGGATCGAATTCATACCTCCGGCCGTTGATGTAGTTTCAAAAAGCTCTTTTGCTCTAGGTAATGGCATTTCTAAACTCTTAACCATCTGAAATTGACGGTATATAAAGTATTTTCAATGGTCGAGCTTAGGGACCAAACCCATCCATATATATAGCCAAAATTCTCATTAAATTATGGCTTAGGTTACCACTTTTCCAATGAATGTTGGACCATCAATTGAGTGTTGAAGGAAAGTAACAGTTGATTGTTGAAAGAAACAGATTTGTTACATTCTCCCACTTTGTCTATACATTCAACCTAATGTTTCAACCTAATCCCATCAATTATCATTCTTAAGAGAAAAACACATGAATCATGGCGATGAGTCCTCTAATAACGAGTATTACTTTCCATATATTATAATGTATTTAGTTTCTCACAATTTTTTTATGTAGTAACAATACTTAATGAAAAAAACCCTATGTCTTATTCTTGGTCCTACAAAAATATATTTTTTTCAAATAAATTAAGGCACGCAAGAATATGAAAAAATATCACCACAAATAAGAGTTTTCGTACAAAAACTGTATATACCATTACATAGTGGAACCAAGTCCCATGTTCTCTACATAATCCTTGAATTTCAATAGTGGCATGTCTTTAGTCAAAGGATCAACGATCATCGATTCAGTGCTTACATACTCAATGACTATTTTCTTTTATTTAAAATGTTCTCTTATAACTAAATACTTAATGTCAATATGTTTACTTTGACTACCATGTTTGTTGTTCTTAGCCATAAAGACAGCAGCCGAATTGTTACAGTAAATTCTCAATGGCCTAGAAATGGAATTCATAACTCTAAACCCAAATATGAAACTCTTAATCCATATACCATGCGAATTAACCTCAAAACAAGATACGAACTCGACTTCCATAGTGGAAGTAACAGTTAAGGTTTGCTTGGCACTCCTTCAAGATATAGCTCCATCAGCCATCATAAAAATATAACCTGATTTTGGTTTTCGTTAATCAACATAGTCGACAAAGTTTGAATTTGAGTATCCAATCACTTCCATATTATCGTCCGTTTATAAATAAGCATGAAATTTTTGGTTCCTTGAAGGTACCTCATTACTTTCTTTGCTGTTCTCTAGTAGTCCAAACCTGAATTACTTTAATATCTTCCTAACATTCCTATAACAAATGCAATGTTAGGCTTTATGAGAATTGAGCATACATTAGGCTTCCAATAGCAAAAACATATGAAATGTTCTTCATTTGTCCTCTTTCTAGATCATTTTTCGGGTATTGGTTCAAATTGAACCTATCATTCTTCACAATGAGAACTACACTTAGTGAACAATCTTTCATCCGAAATCTCTCTAAAACTTTGTTGATATATATTTTCTGAGACAGACCCAAGATCCTTCGTAATCTATCTTCATGAATCTTAATGCCAATTACATAAAATGCCTTACCCATATATGAGGGGTTGAACATGACTGGGAGTGTCATTTAAGTTGGTGCGTGAAGAAGGTGCATCAACGTCTGTGTAGTGATCAGAGTTTGTGATAACTTGGTTGTGATTTATAACATAGATGGTGGTATTTGTAGGGGAAAACACAGGTTCATGATCAGGGACAGGTGTGGTTGTTGACGGACTGTGATTTGGAGAAAGGGATGACGTTTTATCTTGAAAGGGAAAAATATGTTCATAAAACCTCAAATCTCTAGAAGTAAAAATTGTATGTGTGGTTAAATCATTTACCTTGTAACCCTTTTAGTCATGAGGATAGCCAACAAAAATACAAGCGGTGGCACGTTCTTGGAATTTGTCTCTAGATCGAGGAAGGATAGAAGTATAGCAAAGACTCCCAGATACACGAAGTTGAAAATAATTTAGCTTTCAAGAAAATAAAAGCTCATAAGGACTCTTTCCAGTTAACAAAGGTGTGGGAGTATAATTTCTCAAATATACTACCGTTAAAATACAATCTTCCCTAACTTTATAGGTAAATGAGCCTAAAACCTCAAAGCTCTAGCCACTTCAAGTATATGCCTATGCTTATTTTTCCAACCATTTCAATTTGTTGGGGCATGGGACACAAGAAAATTGGGTCAAAATCCTATTTTGTTGGCAGAAGAGTTGAAAATTATGATTTGTGAATTTGGTTCCATTATCACTGCTAATTTGTTTCAGTCTTTCTAGTTATCATAGTTATGAAGGAAATCAACCTGATATAGACTTAGGATTTGGTTTTGATTAAATACACCTAGGTGCTTCTAGTGAAATCATCCACATTTCTTAAAAAATGATTGGCGCTAGATAAAAAGGTGGTGTGATACGGTTCCCAAACATCACAATGAATTAACTCAAAAGATTCATGTGTTTTACTCGAACTAATAGGAAAAGGTTTTCGAGCCTGCTTTACTCGATTACAAGAGTCACAACATGTATTAAAAGACTTAATGGTGGACAGACCTAAATCGGTAAGAAGAGATAGTCTATTAAAGGACAAATGTTCAAGACGCTGATGCCACAAAATAAGTTTAGAATTAGGAGTACCGGTGTTGGTTAAAGCCATAGGATTTTTGATTGCCTGAAATAATAGAGCCCATCTCTTAATTCACCCATTCCAATAAGCTTCCTCGTGGTTAGGTCCTATAAGGCGCAAAATGAAGGGAAAAAATGAGCAACATAATTTAAAGTTTTGGTTAATTTGCTAATAGATATAAGATTGCAAGTAAAGGAAGATTAAGTGAAACACCTCCATAAGACTTAGCCGGAAGGAATGATCCATCTGGAATTTTAATTGGTGAAAAATGAGGTACGATTTTGGGAAAAGTAAAGACACTTTCGTGGCATGTCATATGGTTAGAAGCATTCAATGAAAATCCAGAACTCATTCAATTATGCTATTGGATAGAGAAGTTGCCTTACCCGCAAAATTTGTTGTAGAATCACGAGTCTTTTCAAGATTGAACATAGATATAAGTTGAGCGTAATGCTCATTTGTCAACCCTTTGATTGGTATTGTATTGTTACCCTTAGAAATCTCTCTATGTTATAAGTTATTAGCCAGTTTGGGTTTGAACGGCTTCTTCCCTTTGTCCCACCACTCCGGATAACCAAGTAACTCAAAACAATTATCTTGGATATGCTTGATCTTTTTACAATATTCACAAAATTGCTTGGAGGGATCATGATTGCCTCTGATACTATTGACGCTACTAATAATGAATGATGCTGCCTCGATGGAAGGTGATCTTGATGCTGTCACTAGTTGTTGGCACTCCTCTTATGCGACAAAAGCATGAGCATGAGATAATGAAGGCAATTGATCTGTATTCAAGATCTGAGAGCACACTACATTATATTTTTCATTCAATCCCATTAGAAATTGATGCTCCTTTTCTCTCCCTTTCTATAGCAAGCGCCTTTGCAGAGCTACAAGTGAATAGTAGAATCTGGGAATAAGTGCTAAGTTCATGCCAAATGCCTTTTAATTTGGTGTATTGTACAGAAACAGTCATGACATATTGCAAGGTATTCATCATCTCAGTTTTCAATTAATGAATGCGAGGAGCGTTATCTTGTGAAAATCATTCTTCGAAGTCATTCCACATCTGATATGCCATCACGAAATATGCTACACTGTCGTGGAAGGTAGGATAAAGAGAATTAAAAATCCAAGAGATTACCATTGATTGCATTGGATCCATGCAAATTCTTCCAGCGAACCAGTTGATGGACGTTTGACAAATCCATCCACAAAGCCAAATTTGTTTTTGGCCTGAAGTGCGTTTGTCATTGCACGATGCCATGTGGGGTAATTATCTTCTTTGAGAAGACAGGTTACCAAGGTTGTGCCAAACTTATTTATTGGTCACGTATTATCGAATTAATTGGTCACAAATTATTTCGAGGTCATAAATCAAAAATTTTATAGATCACAGTTTATTTAATTGATCACAGATGAAAAAATTATAGGTCACAGTTTATCTATCAATCACATATTTTCGAATTTGTTGGTCACAATTATCAAATTTTAAGGTCACAGGTAATCAAATAGTCAGTCACAGGACAAATAGTTGGTCACATTACATACCACCACCTCCACTGCCACTATCGCGAGTTCCACTACCAACAATAACCATCCAATTCCTTGACAAAACCAAAACACGACCACCACCTCCACTCCAACAACCAAAAAACACTACCAACATCACCACTAGGCACTACCCCAACACCGCACCACCACAACCATAGCACCAACACTACCAAAGGTACTGCACACAGTACTAGCAACACCACAGCACATACCACCACAAGCAGCAGCCAGCACATCTTTGCATAGGAAAAAGGGTAGCGCAGACATCAACACCTCACCTACAAAACTGTTGCCACACA